CTGACTGACTGACTGAATGAGTGAGTGAGTGACTGACTGACTGACTGACTGACTCACTCACTCACTCACTCACTCACCCACCCACCCACCACTCACTCACTCACTCACTCACTCACTCACTCACTCACTCACTCACTCACTCACTCACTCACTCACTCACTCACTCACTCACTCACTCACTCACTCAAACTGGCTGTGCCGAAGTTCTGGATGGGCCCAAACTCCTCTGAGTCCTGTTGTTCCTGCTCTTCATCCGCATTCTCCTGCCGTGCATCCTCCTTGGATTGTCTGGGGTCTGGATTTGGGACCGGTGTGTTCCCGGTCAAGATGCTAGATTGTTTCTTCTCAGCAAATAGCCCATGCAGTATGGCCGCTGAAATTCTCTGAGCAGATTTTTGTACTGCTTCGACTGCGTGCAACGCTTTGACTCCTCTCTGGCAAACCACTGTTTTCGACTGGATGTGCCATCCATCCACAACATTATGCGCCTCACAAACTGCAGGGATCCAAGTCGCATCTGAGACAACCGCCTTCATATACTCGACTGCAAGCGCCATCTTGAACATGTCTTTGGTGGTGTTCATGCTTTTCCCCACATTGACGTGTGGGGTTTTTGCTTTTAGTTCTGTATCCGCTCCTCCTCCTCCTCGTCCTCCTTCCTTCCTTCCCGTCCTCCCTCCCTCCCTCCATCACTCACTCTCACTCACTCACTCACACTCACTCACTCACACTCACTCACTCACACACACACACACACACGCACTCACTCTCACTCACTCACTCACTCACTCACTCACTCACACACACACACGCACTCCCTCTCACTCACTCCCTCTCACTCACTCACTCACTCACGCACACACGCACTCACTCTCACGCACTCACTCACTCACTCACTCACTCACTCACTCACACACACACACACACGCACACACTCTCACTCACTCACTCACTCACTCACTCACTCACTCACTCACTCACTCACTCACACACACACTCACTCACACACACTCACTCACTCACTCACTCACTCACTCACACACACTCACTCACTCTCACTCTCACTCACTCACTCACACTCACTCACTCACTCACTCACTCACTCACACACGCCGCTTTTGCGTGGCAGGCGTGGGACAATGTGCACTGCCAAGGGGTCGGATGTACGCCCTGGCGTCCCTTGGTCTCCGCCTCTTTTGCGTGGCAGGCGTGGGACAATGTGCACTACCAAGGGGTCGGATGTACGCCCTGGCGTCCCTTGGTCTCCGCCTCTTTTGCGTGGCAGGCGTGCTACAATGTGCATTGCCAAGGGGTCGGATGTACGCCCTGGCGTCCCTTGGTCTCCGCCTCTTTTGTGTGGCAGGCGTGGGACACTGTCAACTTGCGTGGCAGGCGTGGGACAATGTGCGCTGCCAAGGGGCCGGACTCACTCACTCACTCACTCACGCACGCACGCACGCACACACGCACACACGCACACACTCACTCACTCACTCACTCACTCACTCACTCACTCACTCACTCCCTCGCTCCCTCGCTCCCTCGCTCCCTCGCTCCCTCGCTCCCTCGCTCCCTCGCTCACCCACTCACTCACTTCACTTCACTTCACTTCACTTCCCTTCACTTCACTTCAACTTCACTTCACTTCACTTCACTTCACTCACTTCACTCACTCTCACATCCCTCACTCACACACACCACACTCACATCACTCACTCACACTCTCACTCACTCACTGTACATGAACATACATACATACACACAAACTCACCCACCATCACCGCTCCATCACTCTTATACTTCCTCTTCCCTTCTTGCTCTTCTATGGTCAGTCTAAGTCTAAAGAAGTTGGTAACATGTGGGGTTATCCGGTCCTTTAATTTTGATTTATGGGCCTGCGTCAACATGGCACACAAGTTGTCATTTGCATGCGCCGAGATGATACTTTGCTATCACCTCTTGCCTCAATAGATCTTTTTCACCCATTAACTGGTTACTGTCACGTCACTGCTTGGTGTTTTGTGTTGGTTTGCTTTTTGTGTGTGTTGTTTTTTGTTTTTGTTTTTGGTGTTGTTGTTGCTTTTGTTTCTTTGTGCTTCGTTTTTTGTTTTCTGATGAACGTGACAGTACATAGGACTATGTATCGGTCCTCTACCAGTTTACTTTTGCGGCCACTACAGCATCGGCCTTTGCGTGACTTAATTAATCAATTAATCCCATATGCAACATGCTTTGAAACATGTTGAACGACCTGGCGGAAGCCATACGGCGTTGGACGGAAAAAAAATGATTCATCACTTAGTACGATCAGAGACGTATTACGTCCCGAATCAGATTGCATTTTAATTGCAAGACCTGGTGCCGTGACCGGCCTTAGTCCAGTGATCACACACAACCGATATGTCCTCACTGATCGTACCGTTTTCCCACTTTTGCGGTGTTTGGTCCTTCGTTGATTGCGGCTGGCTTGTCACACCGGAACCGGCTGAGCTAAGGCGAATGAATGATTACACATCAGATATTGACCTTGCAATGCATGTCTGCCACCACCAACTTTACTGGGAGAAAAAGAATGAAAATGAACAAGATGGTTTCACCTGGACACGTTCCGAATATGTGGAGTATGTGGCAGAACAGATTGAAAAGGTTCCAGTAGTATCTAAGTTTTTGGAAAGCCTCAATACTGTAAGAATTTTTCCGAATGCGGAAGTGCAGAGGCAATGTTCTGGTGCCACCCTTGTGGCTTTGCCTATTGCTTGGAATGCCGCACCTGCGGCTTGGCCTGCAATCATAGCATTGTCAATTTTTCCTCTGAGTTGTCCGCCGATTTTATGCCAGACAGCATCGGTTCATCCAAGTCGCTTTTCGATATCGAAGAATTCGTTGATGCTGTTCTAGCTGAATCTTCGTATTTCGGAGCCACACGAAGCGAGCATGCTCAAAACCGTCAGGAAAAATTCTCGGAACTTATCACGCATCTGCGTGAAGGCCGATCCATGGGGAATACCTACCTGCAGTCTTTTGCACGGCATGGTATTGAGGATTTCGACTATACAGAATATATTTATGAAATGCCATTTGGAAGTCGAATCCCCTCTCTCCAGCAGCACTTTGTTGACGCCCAGGACCAGACACCACTTCCGATCTGGCGACCTAAGGCTTTCTTCAAGTACCCTGACGGCGGTGACCTTCAGGAAGGAGAGATTCTCCGTTTATTGGAGCTCTTCAGATCGTGCCTTCTTGGAAAAAGAGCATGTTGCTTTTTTTTTCCGTCCAACGCCTTCATGGCTTCCGCCAGGTCGTTCAACACGTTCAATTGCATGTTGCAAAAATAGGGTTAATTAAGTAATTAAAGCATACACATGGCCGTCTGCAGATTGAGGGGCCTCAAGAGTGAACTGGTAAGGACCTGTACACAGTCCAGTAGGTCGTTGGAAGTCACCACAAACAAACCAAAACAAAAACAAAAGCAAAAAGCCAAGCAAACAACACAAAAAACAAAAACACACAGCAAACAAACCAAGCGACGACGTGACCGGTGCCAGTTCATGGGTTAATTAATGCAAGAGGTGATAACATTATATCATCTCGTCATGGTATGGCAGCAGAAACAAAGGGAAAAACATCCAAACCACCAAGCCATACCAGAGGGTGAGTGAAGCAACAAATCACCATGCGGAAACCAGGGATCCCCCCAGCCAGGATCCCCGAGATCACATGGCGCAAGCCGAAAAGGCATAACGACTCACCTATAGTCACTTCGAAGCAAACAACGACAACGCCGCGTCGCAACGAGAGTGGTGAAAAGAAGAGTGAGACGGACAGTGAAACAAGAGCTATTCTGAGAAAGAGCTAAGTGAAACGGACCGCGAAACAGCTCTCCGGGTGCGCTCAGAGTCCGCTCAGTAGTGCTTTTCCGATCATCCTACTCTTGGGTAATTTCTTGTGCTCGACCATGAAGGTACTTGCTTGCTGGGCAGGGTGCCAAAACCGGTGCACTTGGTAGGCTGCCAGGATTTACTGTTGACTCCGGTACACTAGTGCTCTTGGAGTTGGTCTTCATGAGTTGGCAGATTATATTCATCATCTGTGCGTGGTGATATCTGCGCATTTAGCTCTTCCGATGACGTGCTTGCACCTTTGGCTG